CTAAATGAGGCAGTTAAGAGAGGTCTCCTTTATTACACAAGATTGCCCATCCTCCCCACTAATCATCTTGTTTGCTAATGTCAGGGAAATGGTCAGAAGTGAAACTGTTACGGTCTAGAATTTCCCACACTCCTAGATTTTGTGCACTCTAGCAGATAGCTAGGAATGTAATGGCTTGAAATAATTTTTGGGATTAGACCCATGGCAATAAGGGGAAGGTTGATAGTCAGTAAATCTATCAACATCACATAGATTCAAAGTACATTGTCATGATGTTCTATATCAGTGCCTCCAGTCTGTTGGGCTCCGAGTTCACCCAGAGCCCATCAGCTCCGAATATGCTTCGCAGCAAGTCAGCTAGCCATGTCACCTTATCTCTGCTGCTTCCGGATCTGTATTTCTACTTGTGTGCTGACCTATGGCTTTGGAATGACTCAGCAGAGCTTAGGATGGATTCTGCAACAACTGCAGGGCTGCAGGATGGATTCTGCAACAACTGCAGGTCTGCTGAAACTGGCTCTTTATTGATGTGCATATTGTTAAAGTGGGTTGGGGCACATATAGTTGGTAATTAGGACTTAGGTTAAAACATCGTAAAGGTGGCACCAGGTGGGGATCAATTAGTGAGGGTTGGAATAGGGTAGGGATGTAGACATGTTATAGGGTTAATAGCATTTAGGGATAATGGGTTAGGTGTGGCCAGAATTAGAACTGCATATAGGCCTGGGTGTGGTGGGGTGTGTCTCATGATAATGGTGATAAAAGGAAAGGGAGCAAACTCAAACCCAACTCTAACCTTGCCTGGCTTTTAGCCATTCTTGCCTGATTAAAGTATTGTTGTTTGATGCTATATTTAATAAACCATTATTGTCCTAAAGAGGAGCTGGAGTTTGAATTCATTTAAAGATAAATCTTCAATACTCAAGGACTGGCTGAGACAGTCTAGGATGCTAGAGCCATCTGGTAGTCCATGTGCAAAAGACTGACTATTTCTGTCTTTAGCATCTTGGTGTATGCACATATGGATGTGCCAAACAGATTCCCTTTTTTATTTTTGTTTTGCTGGGAAAAATGGAATTCTGTTGCACTGAATTCTGGTTATAACCATGGTTACATTCCATATCAGGATACATAATTGCAACTTTATTGTTAAAACCAATGCTTTAAAATTTGCATGGCCAAACTGGTGATAGTTTCTGAATGTATGTAATCTGCATGCAGGAAAATATAAGCTGGATCGCATTTCCTCCAGAAGGCTCACATTTGACATCCTATCTCTAGGATAAATCTAAGATGAACCAAGATGAGCAAGTTCATTCTGCTAGCATATGTCTGCAGATTATGTCTGAGCTACTAAATAATAACTTGTCTTCACTCCTGTTTTGATCATGCAGATGAACGACTGCCAATCACAGCTGCTCAACATAGGGAATGCACCTTCTGCCAATTTTGAGAGCATGTCCTCTAAAATTCCCATGTAGATGTTTCTTTTGTTGATGAGTACAAATGCATTATATAATATATGCTTAGTCCAAAACTCAGAGATATGAAAGTCTGGGAAAAATATCCCCTTTCCAACTTTATAGTTCCTGGTAGGCAGAACAGAGAAGCCTTTAACGCTCAGCAGTAATGTTTATTTTCTTTTTCTTTGTCCACATTTGCAGCTCTTCTCATGAGGAGACTCCTGGCTCACATCCCCTGTATGGACATGGGGAGTGCAAATGGCCTGGATGTGAAACCCTCTGCGAGGACTTGGGACAGTTTATCAAGTAAGTGACCCGTTTCTATGCTGCTATGCTCATTAGCTGAACTTATACTTTGTTTTCATTCATCTCTAGCCCAGTACAGAGCTAAATGTATAAACAAGAAACACCAGTAATTATTGCTCTTGGATCATGAGGATGGTTTCCTCTGTGCTGGACTTAGTTTACTTTGGCATGTCAGAAGATAAAGGGTCCTTGGTGGTCCCTGAGCTTGCTTGTTTTCTTGCAGACCTTTCATCACCCAAACTAGGTAACTTTATCACTGCTAGTAAAGAACATGGTTTGCTGCCAGTTTATATTCTACAATATAATAGAATATTCTGTATATTCTTATATTCTATTCTAGAATATAAATTGACAGCAAACTGCACTTCTTACTGGCACTGATGATGTTACCTAGTTTGAGTGATGAAAGGTCTGCAATAAAAAACGAGCAAGCTCAGAGAGCACCCAGGACCCCCGCATTTTAACCCTGAGCTTCAAATATTCTCCCTTATTGACTTCAAAAGATAGTTTTTCTATCTTTAAAGAAGTAGTTTCCTAGCAAGGTTTGACAATTAACCTCTTTTTGGAACTGAAGCAGACCTATCTGCCATGATTATATGTAGAAAAATTGATCACAACAGTATATGTTCTCAAAATTCCCTGAAATGGAGGTAAAATCACTCTGCTTCTCACTATAGTTAGATTCCCGTTATATATTTAATAGGGAGAATGTCGAAAGCTATGAAGCACCATGGCTGAACACTAAGAAGTACAAAAGGGGTGTAGACAGGAGGAAAAGAAACTGAGGGGATCTACAGAAATGAGACCAGCAAAGTTTATAACTTGTCCATGTTAGGCAAAGGAAGGCAGGAAGGTGGGGGTGGAGGAGAGAACTAGAGAGAAACAGATGGCAGCACGGCAGCCTGCTGACACCGCTTGTGGGCTCTGTCACTGACTGATTAACTCTGCTGTCTAAGAGCCCTCTGCTAGCGTCAGGGTCAAACAAATTGTTTTCACGCTTCGTCAGAGGTTTACTTAATTAGTTCATTTGCAATTAGATCTCTTTGTAGCCAAGATTTTTAGCAAAGACATCAGATGAAACTGACGGGTTTTCTTTTCCTTGCCTCTTTGGGATTTCCCCCTCCCCTTCTTTGCTTTGTGACTACACATGCTCCCCCTCCCACATGCACAATATACCTCTGCCTGTTTTCAACCCCCCCCCTTCCCACTCTACTGCCTTTTGAACAGAATGTTGGGAAGGGGGGTGGAAATGATGTTAAGGAGGTGGGGGATATTGGGAAGCACAGCCTGTGTGCCTAATCAGACAGTGTGTAATGTTATTCTGCAAACTGAGCATTTCAACAAATCTTCCTTTTACTAATGGAAGATCACTACAATAGTCAACAAGTGTCAGCTGGGTACTCCTACCAAATTCCTTCTAGCATTTTGCATTTCAAAATGAGAAGGGCAAATAGAGAATTGTTTTCATATATATGTGTATTCTTACTCTGCCCCTCCAAAGTCTTCCCAAGATTACAGAATGCTTCCCTTCATCTCAATCCTCATAAAAAGGATGTCTTGACATTGCTGTGATTCTCTAATACTGCACAGAATGCTGTTTAGTAACTGAACCAAAAATATTGGAATGAAATAGAGGGTATTTCATTGGCTGACATTAGGGCAACTTTCACTTAGAGCTTAATTTCCATTTCAAAGCTTGCATCTTTAAGTTCAGATTTATTTTGGCTTTATTAATTTACTATAGCAGTAGACTATGATGCTTCAATCATTGACCTGAACTTCACAGCAGTTTTCTTCAGCCAGAGTAGTTTGTTTAGGAGTCTACAACAGAGAGATTGCTGCTACGAAGTAGAAAAAAGTGCCTATTTTTTAATCCATCTCACCAAGATAAAGAAATAATAAAAAAAAATAGAGAATGGCAAATTGTTATTCTGTTTAATAGGTTTGTAAACATGACATTGTGATTCTGTGATTCAGAATCTCCACCTATTCCTTTGATTGTCTTATCCCTTCAAACTATAAAAATCTGGGCTTGAATGTGTTGTGTATATATAATGCCATTAGAGAATTAGCTTTGAAAGAGGAAGTTCTGGAAACAAATCTCTGCTCAGTTTACTGTGCTACTGAATCAAAGTTACTAATAAACTAGCTAAGAGTTATTTCCCCATAGGACATCTTTCACAGTTATTGTCATGATAAAATAGAAAAACCTAATGCTTTCAGCAATTCAGAAGAAAAACAGAATGAAAATCTGATAAATAGGAAAATGTATAACATAGGCTGGTTTGCAACTCTTAAATATAAAACATGAAAAGAAAAATGCACAGATGAGTTCTTTTAATTAAGCACTGCAAATTTCAAATCCCTGGAGAAAAATTGGTATTTTCTATTTTTAGACACCTCAATACAGAACATGCACTTGATGACCGGAGTACGGCTCAGTGTCGAGTTCAAATGCAAGTGGTACAGCAGCTGGAAATACAGGTCAGTATAAATGTACGCAATAAGATACATTTAATTCTATAAAACTTCCTAACTCCTTGAGTGTCCTCTTACCTGATTTAAAGTTTACTTAAAAGCTATTTCCCAGATGGTTTTTACTCCTTTTTTGACCACTGTAATTTTTGAATTGCATTCTGCCATCTTGATTACAGTACATGGAAAGTACAAATTGGATTCAGTGGGTACAGTTGCCACAGTCGCCATAGAACATGTGTCATCGTTACAAGAATGGCAGTTGCTATACCGTTTTTGAATACCACCTGCTTCACACCTCATTTTTCCACTCCACAATGCATATACCTCATGATGTGTTAGAGAACTGCTCATGTGGCAAGAAAAAGTCCCTTAGTGAAAAGCTGATTGAGGTTTCATGATTTGTTCTGCTGTAGCAAGTTTGACATGTTTGTCAAATCAAGGTAGGCTACTGTGGCTTTCAGAAGTTAATATAAAAGGAAGCAAAAACGTAGTGGACTTTGCTTGATATGTTGTATTTCTAACATAGAAAAATCGCAATTTATAGAGCAGAGGAAACTGATTTAATAGCCTGATTATTTGCACACCTCACATGTAGAAAGACTCTGATATGTGTGAACCAACCACAAATAAATCCAGCAGTGCTAGCTGAAATGTGCTACTAAATGTGAACTGATTTCCCACTATGTTCCCTCACCTGAATTTTATGTTATGGTTCCAGAAGTGAACATATCTTATGATATGTCATATAGATTCTCAATATGGGTAATGGATTTATCAAAATTAGGTAGCTATGTTCAGAAAGCAGCAGCAACAGAATTTTCTTTCTTTTTTGACTTGGGAATACCTAGTAATGTAAAATTATGCTGATTTCCACATTTTCCCAAAAGTAATTGCCAATGAAGGGGAAAGAATTTAAAAAAACAAAAACAGGCAACACAATATCTTTATATCACACGTTTCATCTTTTGAATGTTGCCACTGCACAAGTGAGGGCAAGTAGTACCCTGCTGCTGATCTGTATGGCAATCATGTAACAACTATAACATTTATTTGAGGGCCATAAATTGTAAACAGTGACAGAAAGCTGTGACATTAACAGATTGAAAGTTAGCATCTCAAAGGGTGATGAGAGAAAGTGTCCACGTGGAGATAACTATAAATGGTTGTTAAATGTATGGGATGTGGTGAAACAGCATGTAATCTATGATATGTAACAGGGAATGCCCTTTGTTTTTAAACTTCTTTGCAGGCTCTGCCAGCACTGATGCTTGCTTGATGAACTCTAGAGAGATGGAGCAGGAGTTTCTTTTCATCCATGTTGTTGCATGAATTATATATGAGCAAAATGGGGATGGGGATGAAAGCAGGAGCATTTCATGGGACATGACACTGCAGCAACAGGATTAGTGACAGAGGAAAGAGACTGCAGGGAGATAGCCAGTTGTAATATAGTGGAGGCAGTCGCTGTTGAAAGTTAAATTAAATCAGTGGGTGCAAATGGGGCTGACTAGAAGAATGCATCATTTACGCCAAGTAAAACAGACAAAGAGCATTTAAAGAGCAGAGTTTCATTTTTTTATAGCCTTCAGTCAACTATGCGAATTTGTCCTATTCTCAAAAAGACTATCAAGCAATTACTGATCCTTATGTGGGGGACAATCCTTTTAAGAGAGCAGAAAGTTGCACGTGTAAAAAGCCTTTGCTCCCTATTATAAAGTTTTCACTACAGATCCTACAATGCATCACAGGAGTGGATCTGTCAGCTGTAATGAAAGCTGCAATACTGTCAGGTCATCCTTGTCTCAGAATCTCGCAAGCCTTCTCCAAACTCAATGCTGCATTTAATTCATGCCTTTTTAGCCCTCATTTTTACTTCTGGGAAGAGATTCCGAACCTCATAAGGAGAGAAATGTCCCTTTCTGCATAAACCCTGCAGTCTGCCTCAGGATCCATCAGGTCTGGCTGGAACCAAAGAAAAGTTTGAACATTTAGAAAATGACGATGACAGTAAGATCCTGCAGGATCCACTGTTTTTAAAGCACCCAGCCTCTCCAGTGCCATAGCACTTCTTTCACCCTTCCCACACCCTGAGAAATAAAGTCTCTCACACAACATAAAGCATGCAGCTTAAATAATATTGCACAACTGGAGAGGTAGATAGGCAGGTGAGTAGATAAGCTGAGGAAAACAAGAGCAAAGTGAACAGAAACAAGATAATAGAAACAAGGACAAATGACAAATTAAGAGAAAGCAAGGAGCAAAAGAAAGCAAGAGCAAGTATCTGAAAGGAAAGAATATTAGAAAGATGGTTGATCTAATCTAGTGGCATTCCTTATGGGACAGGATGCTAATACCAGACACATGTAAAGAAAATAACCTAAGTTTTGTTGGGAAAAAGCTGAGTGAAAAGTTATTTGTGGATGCTGAATTCTGTATATGGATATAGTTTTACTTGCTGTCTCTGTACAGCTAAAACTAATTTCCTTACAGTATAAGCATGAGAGTATGAAAGTCAATAATTTAGTGGCCTGGAAATGTAATGCTCTTGCCAGAGTCATGATATTAAGGAATCAGAAAAGTTAGCAGTTTTCCCCTCTCAGGTATGTTCTAAAAGGCAGCAAGACAAAGGAACAGTTTTGTAATGCCACATGTTCTTATAGCATGTAAGAAGAATTAATCAAGATGAGAGGAAAGCATGCATACCCTGAAGCTAAACAGGGCAAACTAAAGTAGCTGGTTTTGCTCCTGCTGATGGAAAAGGAGCCATTCTAGGGAATGATTATCAAATGAACTTTTATCGTGGCCCTTTTTCTAAATAAATGAATTGACCATTGTAAAGGATGTTTCCTCCAAACAAATAACTTCCTGTTTGGTTCTCTCTACAGCTAGCTAAAGAAAGTGAACGTCTCCAGGCAATGATGGCCCATCTGCATATGAGACCTTCAGAGCCAAAACCCTTCAGTCAGCCTGTAAGTCTGGTCATTTCTGACACATATGCCAACTTCTCTTTGTAATAGGAATTGTTCTAAAATATGATGTCGTCATCTTAGGGGACTGATTCAGAGCTGAAAGCCAATGCTGACTGTGACATTATTATTAAGCTCAAAGTGGAGGTACTGTTTCCAAGGAACATGAAGATACTGTGGAAGACAAATGATTTTTGTTCCTATTGAAGATGCTAAATAAGATGTTACTGTTTTCTCAAGCAACTTGTTTGAATGCTTGGAGATTACTCTCATCAGATGAAATCATAGAGGTCAGATGAGATTATAATAACTGACAGACCAATTAGCAACAGTACTCCCATTTTATCATGGTTTCCTACAAGGTTGATCCAAAGGTTAGGTAAACTCTTCCAGGCAATAACTTGTCTCCATGTGACTCCATAAAGCATTGTAATGCTGCTGGCATGCTGTATAAATAAAAATAATAGGTCTTTTACTAGGTCTACTTTAAGAGTTTTAATCTGTTCTTTCTATGTACAGAGTGAAGTTGTTTTCAGATAACAGATAATCAGAGTTGGAAGGGACCTTGTAGGTCATCTAGTCCAACCCCCCGCCCAAGCGGGAGACCCTACACCATTTCTGATAAATGGCAGTCCAATCTCTTCTTGAAAGTCTCAACTGATGGCGCTTCCACAACTTCCAAGGGCAAGGTGTTCCATTGGTTGATTGTTCTCACTGTCAGAAAGTTTCTCCTTATTTCCAGGTTAAATGTCTCCTTGTTCAGTTTCCATCCATTATTCCTTGTCTGGCCTACAGGCGCTTTAGAAAATAGCTTGACCTCTTCCTCCCTGTGGCAGCTCTTCAAATATTGGAAGACCACTATCATGTCTCCCCTGGTCCTTCTCTTTACTCGACTAGCCAAGCCCAGTTCCTGCAACCGTTTATCGTATGTTTTAGCCTCCAGTCCCCTAATCATCCTGGTTGCTCTTCTCTGTACTTTTTCTAGAGTCTCAACATCTTTTTTATAATGTGGTGAACAAAACTGGATGCAGTACTCTAGGTGTGGTCTTACTAAGGCTTTATAGAGTGGTACTTCCCTTGATCTTGATTGTATCCCTCTGTTAATACAATTTAGGATTGCATTAGCTTTTTTGGCTGCTGCTGCACACTGCTGGCTCATATTTAGCTGGTTGTCCACTAAGACTCCAAGATCCCTCTCACGGTTACTGCTATTGAGCCTGGTTTCACCCAGTCTGTATGTGTACTTTTGGTTTTTCTTGCCTTTGGTTTTGATACAGCATAGCTTACAAGTTGTGCCTAGTTAGCCAAAATCACTAATATTTGCCATAATAGAAAAGGAAATGTCATTCTTGAACTGAGAAACAAACAACAGAAAAAGTGCACTGCTGCTTAAGTGAGGGATTACCAGCAAAAGCTGAAAAGCTCTGTTATCTGAAAATGTGGGGACAGAAGATACAATCCTGATGTCATGACTGCTACTTACAAGACCTAGGAACTTACATTTAGGGTGTGCCACTGGCTCCTTCCTGATCTGTTGCCCATTTAAGTGTTTATCAGCCATTCCATATGGCTACTAAGGAAAAGCCAGCTTGTGACACTGATGCCCTAGACCACATCAGTCAGAAAACCTGCTAGAATAATTTGCATTGTTAACCCAAATATTTAATATTTTCCTTTTGCCATCTTGTTCTGCATTTTGCCCATATGGCATTTGGACCTTGTTACCACAGTCCATGAGAAGGAAGGCAACTGTAATTATAACTTGAGGAAGGAGTAAAGAAATGTACTGCTACCACTGCCTCAGAATAATTTATTGGAAGATGTTTGTATCCTATCTTTCTTGCCAAAAGCATCAAACAATATGGTTTATATAATGTAAAAATTGCAAAAAAAAATTCTAAAAAATAGTATAGATCAATCAGTCAAGGAACTAACTAGATCAAAATGTAACAATATCTGCTATACACAAAGAAAACTTAAGAGTATAATTGTCTTTAGCATATAGTGAAGACCAACAAAGAAAGATGCAGCCACACAGGGCAAAACATAGTCTGGGTGCAGCTATTGCGAAGACTTGTTTTTCCCTTTCAAACATGTTTTTATGATAAACAGGAAATAGAACCCCCTCCCCCTTCTGTTTTTAGCAATCAAAATGCAGGAAGGAGAAACATGCTTTCTGTATCTCAAACACCAGCATTTTGAATTAGACCTGGAAACTGTTTGATAACCAGTGCAGCTCTTGCAGCATTGGTATAATGTGATTATTCATTTATTGTTTGGTTTTAGGAAATTATGTAATGTTTTTAATTTCAAAAGCACCAGAGTGATTGACGTTAAAAATTATGTATAGAAACTCCATAACAGAAATCATAAAATCACTTTGTTTATAAGTGTTAATAAACAGCTATTAGTGTAAAGAAAAGTTTTGCAATATCGGTAGCTGTTATATGTTGCAAAGGCCATCAGGACCAAGGTGAGCTTCTTTAGCCTTTTCAGAGATCCTCCATTTAAATGGCATTTTATGTGTTCAGTATGAATATAACTGAAGCATGTATAACTATGTCAAAGCCTGATCTCCAGGAAAATGATCAGTCTCCAGTAGTTTCAAATGGCTGAGGCCCTTCTCACTATATCTGCTAATGATCATTCATGTGTAGTCATAGCTACACATGAATGTCACAGATTTGTCTGTAGGATGCAGGTAGTCTATAAAGGTGAATAGCACAAATCTTCCTTCTAGATTGTTAGCACAAGCCTCTCAGAAAAGCATTATCTTTCAAATTCAGTTCCTATTCCCGCCTTGTTTGCTCAAATAAGTTAGAAGGCCAGTATCATTATTATAGAATTAATATTATTGTGATGAATATTGATTATGATTTCTTAACAATAATTGTATCCAGACAACACACTGTTTGATTGAAATTGAATTTTTATATGTTATGTAAATAAAACAAATAAAAAATTATATATATATAATATGAAAGCCAGTGATCCAACTTACAGCAACTGATATCATGCTTGAAAGATCTCAATCCACATCCTTAGATTCAGTTCTGTATTACCCACTAATGTGTCCTCCAGCTATTTCTCCCAAGCTAAGTCATGTTAATATCCCAAGAGCTGAGTCTGGCTTTTTTGTTCTCTTTAAAAAAGCTTTCCTAAATTGTGATGTATCTAATATTAAAGTAAGATTCAGATCCCTATTCAGTTGGTTGATTGGTTGGTCCAGTACTGCAGTATGTGATTCAATGTTGAAATGAAGCTAGCAAATCGGGAAACAATATTAGGGAATTTGTGTATATTGGTGTATATTGTCCTCAATATATATCACACTATTTTTCTTCTCTGCAGAGAGGAATTTAAACTTTTGCTAGCCTGTTTCTTTAACTTTAGCACCAGTTGCGATACAGATTTAATAATGCTGAACTTGGTGATAGATAATGGTGATAGAGTTGAGTAACCATCACTGAAAATTATTCCTCTAAAAATCTGTCTATATCCCCCTCCCCCTCCCCCCCCCAAAAAATGCTAAGGGGTTGTTTTTGTTTTAATTAGAAGTATATTTTTAGGTGGTAATTTTTTTCCCTATACCAAACAACATGCTTTGATATAACTGAAGTTGGTAAAGGATTTCAAGAATCAACTTGCCCTGACTTGGTACAATATACTTTGAAATACAGTGGTTTTGATATCTTGAAGTCTGTCTCCACCAATTGTCAATGAATGAGGCCTCATTGGAATATATTTACTTTCACTGTTAATAGTTATCTTTATTGATAAATAATGCTCACCACCTGCTTTATTTGAACACATATTGTTTACCCATGCACTTCTGGTCTAGTTCTAATCATGATCTTCTTTTAATCCTCCTTGAGCAGCTGAATCTGGTTTCCAGCGCTACAATGTCCAAAAGCACTTCTGATACCTTTCCTGATGGATTACCTCATCCCCCCACCTCTGCAACTGCACCCATTACTCCATTGCGACAGGGTCCTTCTGTTATCAGCTCCTCCACTTTACACAATGTAGGGCCTATTCGCAGGAGAAACTCAGAGAAGTTCTGCACACCAATTTCCTCAGGTGAGATAGTTGAGGAGAAGTTCCAGTTACATCAAATATTGTGTTGAAATGAACCATTTGGAATGTCTTTTGCTGTTGTTTATAACTTACTTTTTTTCTGCCTAGAACTTGCACAGAATCATGAATTTTACAAAAATGCAGATGTCCGCCCTCCCTTCACATATGCCTCACTTATCAGACAGGTAAAAACCTCTTTATTTTTTAAGAATGCACATAAATACAATGATATCTGGAAAAGGCAGCAATCCTTATGAAGTGCTTACACTTACACTCAATTGTTAATTGTGGGAAGTGTTTCTAATATGTCAGTAATGTACTGTAAGATTTTTGCCTTCTGTCCTAACTCTGGGGAATGCAGTTTGGTTAAGCTGCAAATTTAAACTGCCAATTTATATCTTGAGAGCAAAATTATCTGTGATTTTAAGCCATTGTTTGTGCCTTTCACTAAGCATCCTAATACTGCTGATTAATGAATCAGATACATATTATTATTTTTTCTTTTGTCTATTTTGTGTGAAGAGAGACCTAGAGACAAAGACATAAGGATTGTATTTCTAGTTTTTATTGCTCTTTAATTATTTATAATTGTAGTTGTATCCTGCTCGAATCAGACAGCTCTTGGCAGTTCTGACCTTAGTGCTTCTTAATGCACTGCTTTATATAGTCAGGTTAATAGCTCCCTGAATAAGGGTAGGAAAGGAACTTTTAAAAATAAATAAATGACAGTGATATGCTCAATTTTCATTAGTAAAAAATCTGCCCTTCAGTGTCTTCCAGAGTTTTCAGAAATATACCAATGTAATATTAAAGTTATTTCTTTCAGAGTTACTAACCTTGTACTGAATAACAAAAGTCTCCCTTTAAAATAACTTTGATTGATTAATGCTGTTTCCTGATAAATTTTGTTGAGAGAAATATTTTTATTAATACAAATTAGTGGGTTAATTTAACTAGTGATACTCAGACATTTAATATTTGTATATATTGTTCTCTCATACACAAAGAAGAGATCAGTGTTTACTATAGTTTCATTTGTACCCAATATTTCTGATTTTTAGATGCAGTATAATCACATGCTTCATTTATGTAAGACTATAGAGTTCCTATATATTCATGTTAGTGGTTCGTAACTGCTGATTCTCCTTCCAGTCTTAATTTTCTGGCAGAGCAGATATAGTTTTCTTTGGGTCATAATGTCCTGTATGAACTGCAACCTTCTATAGCACATCCTTTAAAAAAGTTTAATTCTCATGTCTTTCTCTATTCTGTCTTCTATTCTATTCCTTTCCTTGACTATTCATTTTCTATTAGGTTTTTTTCCCATTTTCTTTTACCTAAAAAAACTTAATAAAGCCAAATACAAAAACAAGCTAAATTCCCTGAGAAAATGGCTACTATTGCTCCCTGATAATACTGTATTGGGCCAGTATCTCCATTTTACAGTGAATAGAAACCAGTTGGGTAGCTTAAGAGTACTGGGACTCTGACTTTATAGGACTTTGGAGCTCTGACCTTATAGCCCTGTTTCCTTCTGGCTGAATAAATGCCTTTATAAACACTTTATTTTGCATTTAAAATGTGCTTAGAAGAACAAGCTAAGATCATTACTTCTATTATCTCCTCCTTAGAAAATACTTTTGCATAGTCTTTTTAAGCCTATGCAAAAAGTGTGAATTAGATAATTTCCTAACTTATTCCTGTTATTTTCAGGTCTTTCAGATTAGCCACTTTGGGATATCTATGATTTGATAAGCTTTTCCAAGAGATGCTTTGACAAGTATTCTCACTTTAAACAAATATTTTCACTTACCAGCTCCCCCAAATATTCTCCCTCTTGGTGCAGGTAGTCACATATATAAAAATATTAGGTTAGATCAAATGATACTTTCAAACCTCCCAACCCTGCTGAGTTAACAGCTGATAGAAATTTATTGTCTCTATCACAGTCACAGTCCAGCAAATTTTGATTATGTTCCGTTTTTAACTGCGCCACCACCAAAAACTGATTGCACCAAGTGTCTGATCTGAGTTAGTAAACGTGAAAGCCAACCTGTTACCTTTTCTCTGTTGACTTTGTTAAATCCTGAGATGCATAATAAAAATGAAATGAAGAAGGAACCATTTTAGGGTGCTCTTCTTTTGCTATATAATTAGAAGCAAGGGCATAAGAATCATGACCAGTTTTTGAAGAACGTTTGAGTACATTGTACTCAACAACTTGTCTTTGTCCATATAGTACAATTCTCAGCTTGCAGACATGATTTCTGTACCTGCCTTGCTTAGTCTGTTCCATTTTTGTACTTTGGGAATAATAATTAGCAGCAATTTTGTACTTACTATTTAGCAGATCTTGTTCTCAGCAGTTAAGCCTATAGTACTGTATGTAAAACAGAATATTCTTGTATTTGCATAAGGAAATCTTCTGCTACCGTAAATACAACTATTTAAAACCTGCATTCCCTGAGCACTGCTACTCCTGATCTACGTAGATTAGATCTACTTCCTTTGGTGAGACAGATAACCTTATTAAACTTACTGGCTTACCTGAGAGCTAGCCATATAAATTGAAATTAAAATTTTAAAAAATTAAGAGTAATTTTTAATTTAACTAAAAATTAAATGAAAAAATGAAAAATACTTATTTTTAAAAAATAAAAAAATACTTTAGAAATCATTAAGCCTACAAAAGGGTGTTCTACATTCAGACAAAGAAAGTAAATGGTTAGATTGGATGGTCTAGTTACTTTTTTAAATAAAATATTGAAAGAACCAATTCCATTGTATTTGAGAATTTGGTACATCACTTCCTGGAATTGATAATAACCTAATATTAGCAAATATTGAATTTCTCTGAAGATATGAATACAACTTAATAAAAAGACCGTGGAATATGGTCTTTACATTTTCTTTTGCTACCCAGCTGCATGGTGATACATTGTTGAATAATACATACCTTTACTGGCTTCTACTGCTTTGTCTTGGAATAAGTAATGATAAGTGATGATGTTACAGTATGTCATCCCTAGATACTTCTACATTTTTGAATGTCAACTCAAATTGAATTGGTTTCCAATTCCAATTGGTTGGAACCAATTTGAATTGGTTCACAAATCTGTATGTTACTCTCAATACTTTGTCATATAGCTTGTTGAGTCATAAATTCAATTCACTAAAGAACTGTGGTTTCTGGGTAACATCATTCCATGAGAAAACTCAATAATGTAGGATCTATATGGTTACTTTGCTCACACTAATTCCCACTTCATTTTCTAATCATTAAGTGAAGAAAAAAATCAATATGTGTTAACTTGTCAGTATTTTTAACAAGTGGTTGAAAATTTTGTAAACATGCTGTAGTAATGTCAGTCCCTTTTAACATTTTTAATAGTAGTTCACCCAGGAATGGTGATGGGAAATGATGAGTCTTATATCTGAGAGTGACTTTTTCTCATGTCTAAATGTAGGCTATCCTTGAGACCCCTGACAGGCAGCTAACATTGAATGAAATCTACAATTGGTTCACACGGATGTTTGCCTACTTCAGGAGAAATACAGCTACATGGAAGGTAATATTTAATCTAGGATTTAAATATAACCTTGGGATATATATAATATTCTTCACAACAATATCACTTCTTAAAGAAATATGGAACACTATTGATTAATAAATATGGAGAAATTGATGGTGTCAGAAAAATACTGATGGTATAAATGTAGTGGGTAGTATGCAGGGGTGGATTGCTGGGGGTTAGCAAGTGTTCGGGAGAGCCCCTAGCTAAGATTCTGTACAGTTTGGAGAACTCCCAACTCCCACTCCTGGCTGGCTCCACCTACCCTACCCTGCCCCCCCCCCAGGAGTCCCCACGAGGCCTGTTTTGGATGCAGTTAAGTGCAGGGCGCATATGGAGGCTCGGGAAGGGCGAAAAACACCTGAACGGAAGTTCAGGAAGGCCAGAAATGGGTCCTTTTCCGGCTTCCAGAGAGTCTCCGGAGCCAGGGGGGGCATTTTCTCCCTTTCAGAGGCTTGAGAAAGCCTCCGAAGCCCCGAGAGAGCAAACCACCCCCCCACTGTGGCGCAGGAGGCCAAGTAGGCCACGCACACCATGGTCACTTGTATTGATTACATTTTATGGTATTAAGAACAGAGTGAGAATAGATATATTTAAGAAGTGTACGTGGTTAAAGCCAGATGAGATGGGAAGTAGGAATTAATAAAAAATGGATGGGTAGAAGTACAAAGCTAAGTGACCAGTATGCAAAAGAGATGTTGAGGTGATTTATTCATACAGATTAATTGAAAAATGCATTGCAATACAAATATATGAACGAAAAATTGAAAGATTTAGAAGTTTAGACGTTGTTAGATGATGTTGATCAATTCCTCAACTTTAACTTGTAAACGGAGGTTGCAGGTTAAATAAAGAAAAGGCAATACAGGTAGTCCTCAACTTACAACAGTTCATTTAGTGACCAAAGTTCCAACGGCACTGAAAAAAGGATTTATAACCATTTTTCACACTTATGACCATTGCAGCATCCCCTGCAGGGGATCAAAATTCAAACGCTTGGCAATTGACTCCTATTTGCAGTGTCCAGGGGTTATGTGATCCTCTTTTGTGACCTTCTGACCAAGCAAACTCAATGGGGAAGTCAGATTCACTTAACAACTGTGTTACTAACTTAACAACTGCAATGATTCGCTTGACAAGTGTGGCAAGAAAGGTCGTAAAGTGGGGCAAAACTCACTTAACAAATGTCCCACTTAGCAACAGAAATTTTGGGCTCAATTGTGGTCATATGTTGAGAACTATCTGTACGTGAAGCGCTATATGGCCATGGTGAAGATAAGGAAGGTTTGCAGAGAGAGTATGAAGAAGTACAGTGAGCAGTCCAGAGTCACTTTGGATAATGAGATTGGCAGCATATACATTTAATAAATAGTGATGATATTAGTGTAAATTTAATTTATTTGAATATCTTTGTTTTCCTACTTTAATTTCTTTGGCTTATATTTCTGACTCCTTTTCTGTGCTCTGTCTAATGTTGCTAACCACAAAATGGAATTGTGTGTTAGTTGTATGTATGTGTCTGTGCATACCTGTGCATGTGTACATGTTTTAAATGTAGAAGACATATAGGACTGAATTCGAATTATCCTTAGAAAAAGAGTAATGTGTTTATGGCTGAACTGGGTTGTATTTTATTTGTATTCTGAATGTGGGCATGATATTAATAATTTTATAAAAGTGACATACAATTGCATGTCAATAAGTCCACTCTGTGATTTAGTAGCAGCATTGTTGAGTTTCCTTATTTCTTTCATTCCATGTTGCACAAAATCTGCATTGAAGATCTTAATATGTGAAGGTAAAGAGGAAGATTACAAAGAATATAACATACTAGGGTGTTTGAGGTGACTTGATATGATCCAGTGAAATAAGTAAAATGATATTTGAGTGACTTCTGAATCCTTTTCTTTATTTTTTTTTGCTTCTACTATAATACGTGTGGAAGACAAAATTCTTATCTCTCCTTCAAATAAAGCGCATGGGGTATTCCATATCTTCCACGAGTAAGATGATCTGTTCTTTAGCTGTTACCCAAAGTGGAGAAAATAGATATCTGAGTCATTTTGTATCCATTATTATGTTGCTTCCAGTTAGGATGAAGGGGCTGTGAGACTGTCGGGACTGATGAATTCCACCTTCTTGAGCACAAGATAATCCTCTGCCTCTATGGCTTTCTTTCTGAGCTGTGGGCTATAGTTTCTCTTGATGAGAATGTATAGTTCCTCAGCACAATAAACAGATAATTTAACATAAAATGTGTCAAAATGCATGGATGATTAAACAAGATTAGAGCATTAGGTTCCATCTCTCAGAACAATGTGTTTTAGCTTCTGAGGTGAGGATAACGATGTGTGAGTTGGTGACAACAGCATGTGACCAGTCTGTTCCATTATAAGCCTGCAGAAATAGGTCTGCAGCTGCATGCATGTGGCTTCAGTACAAGAAAAGCAGAAGGGAAGTTCAAGATGCTGGAAATAGAAAATAAGGTTAATGATAACCTGGGGGTTGGCATCTCACTGCATGTGGCAAATAGATGTTTCAGTCAACCTAGCTATCATTCAGGTTAGTTTCCCAGATTACAAGGAGTACTTGCCATAATACAGATGGCATCCTAATAGGATAGTCGTGTGTGAGTGTTCATAAGAGAGAAACATGCAATACTCAACTCAAACTTAGCTTTCAATCCTGGGAGAGAAGTTAAACTTTACAATGCAAGTTAGTCATAAGTTTCCAGTATCCAGCCTTTTATCCTGAACATACTTTTGAGGTTCTAATTAAGATCTGATTACTTAGTATATCTATTCCTACAATTGTAAAATAAAAAAGAGGATGTTACTGTTACTTATTTAATTATATCAGGACAGCAGAGGGTTTGAGTCTGGCTATAATGTTTAATGCATGTCTCGATTTCAACTTTGTAGTACCCCTTGGTAATTAAAAATTTATCAAAACAAAGGCAGAATCTGCAAATTTTGTGTGGAGAGCAATGGAAGATGTCCATACCTCAATCATAGAGAACAAGAATTCACATAGAAGAGCTGTGGTCCATCATTGTAGATTATAGGGAATAGTAAACTAAGTGGGCCAAGTAGTTTGTGTATGTGTGTGTTTCCCCTAAATCAAGCCAATTGTATCTACTGTCTAGAAAAGTAACAGCTTAAAAATATTAGGTGCCAAGGCTTGTTTATATTATAAAATCCAAAATGCCCTCTTTGCAGATTTATTTTTTCTGATTAATATTTTAGCAAAAAAACCGTACTGTATATCCTTAAAATATGAAGTTTGTGTGCGTGTCTGTGTGTGTGTATTTTTCTTCATGTGAAATAGTACTCAATTTCCATTTTTAATTTGTATTTTGACCTGTTAATAACCTCTGTCTCTGAATCTATTTGCCCTTCCTTGCTTCAGTGATATCTGGAAGTAGAAGAGACTGTTTCTCCTTGGGATGCAAAAATGGGGGTGGGGGTGGGGGGCTGGGGGGAGGGAGAGAGAAAAAGAAAAGCAGAGGGTTGTCTCCAGAGCAGAGGAGGGGTGTCATGTTCCTGCAGCTGGGCATCTTTGCCTTTCAGACAAAGCCCTGATAAGATTCCATCCTCCAGACATGACATAATTCTGCCAGTGTCACACTCAGGCCCGATACAATCACTCCCTTAGACGGGAAACCAGAGTTATTGTGTAGCCGTCAGACTTTGATAACGGCCAAGCAGAACTTGCTGCTTCTTAAGCAAACACAAGTCTGAGAGCGGCAAATTACTCTGAGAATGAAAAGGAGGTCATGGCATTAGGCTCTTGTGGGTAGTGAGTAGATTTGGATCAATCCAAGAGAGACCATGGAAATCTGAACTTGCCAGTGAAGTTTGTTGGAGAAGGCAGCTGCCCGGTAGTCCAACTCATGCTTTGAGAGGATCCATGAAATAACCCATTATGAGATTTCAGAGGGCAGGCAGAATATAACCTCTTCTTAAGATACTTCTTGTTTCCAGGGAAAAGCAATTTTGTTTGTACTAGTTAAAAATTACCTGTCAAACTTGCTGGTTGAAGCATTCTTTTTGATTATGGTGTGGAATGTTTGTGAACAGTTTGTCTTTTCAGAAGATTTGTAAGGTTTCAGGAAAAGAAAGGAAGAAGTCATTTCCTGCCTTCTTTCCTTCTCATGAAAACAACCAATCTACTGTATGCATGATTCTAAGATTTATGCATAATTATTTTTAAGATTAAATATGAAACTGCCAAATATAGGATAGCAACTAACACAATTTTTTTACATAAACCTCTAAACATAAACATAATAATATCAGCATTTCCATATTAATTTTTGTTTCTAACTTTGGTGTGCATTTTGAGTCATTTTATTCCAGGAGCACACATAACATTCAAATTGCTGATTACTCACTGTGTGGAACATGTTTTAGACAAGTTACATAATTACTGTAATAGATTTTCTATATAGTCCTCACAATCACAATTGAGCCCAAAATGTGTTATTAAGAGAGACTGTTGTTAAGTGAGTCCTGCTCCAATTTATAAACTTTGTTGCAACAGTTGTTAAATGAATCTGTGCAGTTGTTAAATTGGTAACAGTTATTAAGTGAATCTGGCTTCCCTATTTACTTGCTTGTCAGAAGGTTGCAAAAGGTGACCCTGCACTATGTAACCGTCATAAATACATGCCAGTTGCCAAGCATCTGAATTTTGATCACATGACTGCAGGGATGCTGAAAAAGTTGTGTGAAAAACAGTCATAAATCACTTTTTTCAATGTCATTTTATCCTAGGTCACTAAAGTTACAAGTTGTAAGTCAAGGACTACCTGTAAAATGGGTCTATGACAACTTGCCATGACCAATTCACCACAACCAATTCACTGCAGGACAACTTGCCACAGAGCAACAGTTACACTAATATCAAAGAAATGGTGGAATAAAATCATTAAAGAAAGTATGCAAAAGGAGCGATAAAATGAAATGTGGCTGATAAAAATTAAAATAATTTTTAAA